CCCCCCCCCCCCCCCCCAAAAAAAAAACCCTAACTATTAAAAAACATCACAGAAGTGGTAAATAAAATGTGTTATATAGTCTTTTGAACCAATTTGATAGCCTTGTGTGAGGAAAAGTGCTATTTTAGTATTATTTATATACTATGATAATATTTATTAATATTTTTAATTAGCTTTTTATATTTTCAGTTTTCTTTAATTTTTTGTAATTTTGATATGTGCTTTTGTCATTTTTGTATGTTTTTTATATTTATATATACCTTTAATTTATTTATATTTCAGTTTTAGTTTTAGTAATTTTAGTTCTTCATCTTAAATGAAAATGAGAAATACTGCCCTGGCAACTAACTGAAATGAATAAGCTTTTTTTCAGCTTTATTTCAATTACAAAACTTTTCAGTAGCATTATTTTGTATTTATTTAATTTTTTGTTAACAGTAACAACACAGATAAGAAATTTCATTTGATACATTTTTCAGTTATTCACTGAAAATCTTGTCATCTGATTTTGCTCCTTTTTGGCGTTTTTGAGAGTCCATTAGAGAATTTGCAATGTCTGACTTGCAAACAAACTGTTTAATGAGTCAGACCTTGAATCAGTACCAGTTTCAGAGGTTTGTTCTCAAATCGATCTGATCTGATTCTCAAGTTCAGTTTACTGATTCAGTGATTTGATTGCAGTGGTTAACAGGTCACTCAAGAAAAATATTAGCAGTAAATAATTACAAACATAGCATTTTATGATACATTTATTGTGTTATTGCATCCTTTTTGGAGCTTAAAAGTGATAGTCTCTAACGGATGTAACTGCATCCAGCACATTATTTTCTCTTTGCGTTCTACAGAAGAAAGAAAGCCATTCAAGTTTATAGGTTTTGGGTAAACTAATCCTGAAATTGACCACTGAATGTGTTTGTATGTGCAGTTTTAATTCTAGCAATTTGTTTCACTTTCATTAGATGCTCTCAGTAAGCATTTTTAGTATTATCTGTTTAAAAAGATTGACCATATTGTTTATTCTTTTAATTAATTACATTAGTGATGTCTGAGGTTAAGTATCTCAGTATTATCATGAGACACCTTGAGCCTCATGATCATCTGAAATATTAGCCCAAGTCTTCTATGCCGCCTTCTCTGGCTCTTGCTAGTATTTCCTCGTTGGCATTCAGTGTACTAATGTTTGACTCCATTCCCACGTCTCTAAAAGACTCGTCTGGTCACACGTCTCGCCTGTCTCCAAGGGAGACCACGGTTGCCGATGGCAATCGTGTTTGGGCGGGAGGTAGTTGACATGAGCTTGGCACCCATGGACCAGATTTGCAACATTTTCAATCAATTGCGCTAGAACGAGGCAGGAAAAATCAATGAATCTCTTTTTTTTTTTCCCTAATCCGTTCAAGGCCAAAAAAAGGATCAAATCCAGAAAGCCAACATACTCAGGGCAGGATTAAGAGGGTGATGTCTCAACAGTTCGCGGAGCCTTGAAATGTAGCGTGGCGCGCTAACGAAGCGTCTCCAGTGGTTTAAGATCTCTATAGCGACAGAACATATGGGCCTCAAAGGGCTGCAACTCTGTGAAATTAGATTAGGACACAGACATAGGCAGACCAGCAGTTCACAGCTTGCCCTAGCTCACCCTCTTTTACTTGCTCCTGCAGTAAACAGGAGAGCAATGTCAAATTCATCCATTTAGCAATGGAAAAGCTTTGTGTAGAAATGACATCTGAAAGTCATACATTATATTTTGTCTACAAAGAGGCTTTTGAAAGAAATTCTCATAGTTTTTTTGCAAGCAAATGCTTCAAAGCACCTCAAAATAGTTCCTTTAAACGTCCTGGATGACAGTATGGTAATGTTATAGTATTTGTGAAAGACTTTGCTGTCCATGGTCCTGAAATCTGTCACGCAAGTACATACAGTCTGATAAAAAAAATAAAAATCTAATTTAGGGCAAGTTTACTCTTGGTATCAGGTTGTGGCCGTATCCTTAAGCCTTTTGTTTTGCATCTTTAGATTCTGTGTTAAAATGATAGCGTGAACTTTGTGTGAATTAATACTAAGAGAATCAGGACTAAATGTATCATTTTTTTTTTTTTTTGGTCCAGACCAAAAGAACCGAACTACAAATGTAAACAAAACATTAAATTTGAAAGACACATTTGAGAGACGTAATGGTAAAGAACAAATATTTGACTCAAGTTGTTTGTATGTGTAAACAAGAAAAAGAGAGTCAAGAGAGGTGTTATTGGAATCTCAGTGCTAGCCCCAGCACTATACAAGGCTGCTTGGTTTAGTTCTGTTTTTTAATTCCTTAGTAAAAGGTAAGGGTGTTAATTTTTGTAAAGTGGTGTTTGTTTTTATCAAACTGTGATAGTGAATGTTTGCCTCTTTTCAGTAATGGCTTTTAATAAACCTTGTGTGCCTGATAGCGCTCCTTTCCTTTTTTTTTTTAAATCATTTTCAGTAACATTGGTAAACAAAATTTACCAACCTTGAAAATAGCTAAAGTGTGTAGCGAATCAGCTCATGGGGAAATATGAATAATTAATCATAACTAGTTATAATTAATTATAAAGCTCTCTGACTACAGAATCGCCCCGACCCTTTTACTACAATCCTTTAAATACAAAACCAAGATAAGACATCCTCCAAATGGAGGCATGTAATTTACATTAACCCAGGTCTCAGACCTGGGTGGTTTTACACCTCAATGGGAACAGAAGGTAATTTGCATGGAATGACCCTCTACAGTAATCACAGTATTTATTATCTTTTAGTCTACTTTTGTAAGATTAATACCATTGTACCACTCACCCTGACACTATTCAAATGAAACCAAACATGACTGTAAATCTTATTTGCATTCATATAGAACATTATATTATTGACCATTCTGAGTGAATTAAACGGAGGGAGGAGATGAAAAGAAACTGATGCATATGTGAGAGAGGCGTTTCCTGCACCACC